GTGCACCTGACACAAGCTATGGTATTTCCAATCGCCTCATATGCATGTGAGAGCTGGACAATGAATAAGGAAGACTGAAGAAGAATTGATGCTTTTGAGCTGTGGTGTTAGCTAAGAATGCTAAAAGTGGTATGGACTGTGAAAAGAACTAACAAGTCTGTCCTGGAGGAAGTATAGCTGGAATGCTCCTTGAAGGCAAGAATGGCCAGACTTCGTCTCACATACTTTGGTCATGTTGTCAGAAGGGACCATTCCCTGAAAAGGATGTCATGCTTGGTAAGGTGGATGGTCGATGAAAGAGGGGAAAGCCCTCAATGACATGGTTTGACACAGTGGCAGCAGTGATGGGCTCAAGTATAGCAAGGATCATGGAACTTGTGCAGGACCAGGCAGTGTTTCGGTCTGCTGTGCATAGTAGGGTTGCTATGAGTCGGAGACAACATGACGGCACCTAACAACAACAACAATAGAAATTATGGATGCAAATTTTGGATTATGAAAAAGGAAGACAGAAGGAAAATTGATGCATTTGAACTGCAGTGTTGGGAAAGAATACTCAATATACTGTGGACTGCCAAATGAACAAGCAAATCAGTCTTAGAAGAAATACAACTAGACACAGACTCTCTTCAACAAAAAAAAGAAAAACCAATTGACAGAGATACAGAAGATAACCCTGGAACCCTGAGCTTTGAAAGGAACTATACAGAAGTGGATTAGGCACCAACTAGTGGAAAAACCTGAATGAAAACAGTGAGTATAGAGACAGAGCTGTGGACTATCAGCTACTCTGACGAGACCAACAGCCTGAATATTTCCAAGTGGTGTTGGGACTTGAGAATTGACCTAAAGATCAGTCCTAGTCACCAAGGGCTGCAGGGACAACTGTGGCCTATGACTAGGAAGGGAAACAGCAGGGAAGGAGACAACCTGGGCTATGGACTTTCTGCTGTCCGGAGGGCACAGCCATTCTGATCGTTAACACATGGCAGCCATTTTAGATATTTAAAGTGACTGAGGGCGCAGCCATTTTGAATGATTACAAGTGGCAACCATTTTGGATTTTAAAGTGATAGCACTCTCATTCAGATTCCAGGGACCTAAGAACAGGCTCTGTTTGCCAGGGTCAGCAAGGACATATGAGAGGCTGACAACAGGAAAGGAGACAAGTAGTGAGTGTATAAGTGCTGCCAACAACTCAATAAAGGAGCACAGGATAGTACCCTGCCTGTATAGATAACATACAAAGAAAATGAAAATTGCGGGCAAGTCACTCCAACATATAATCACCAATTAAATATAAACACAAAAATGTCACAATGCCTTAGAGACAACAGAGCATCACAGTCCACATAAAGAAGCAAGATAAAGCAGGAGAAACAAGGGATCAGGATATAGACCCAAAACACATCCCTGAGCAAGATGCAGCATTGGAATTCCCTGATAAGGAATTCAAAAGCATTATATTTAGCTATCTTCAAAGGATTGAGAGACAGAACAAGGAAAACACAGACAAAAACCTAGAACAATTTTGGAAGAAAATATAAGAACAAAATGACAAAATAAATGAAAAATTAGAAATGATTCTAAATTTACAGATAGAAATCCAGAAGATTAATACTAAATTGTCAGCAATAGATAACACATTG